GTAGCATTGAACAATGCATAAGTGAGACCTTTGATTACTGTAAGTAAAGCATTTCAACTTACTTATGATTGTACTCTGTTCACTCTGAAAGGGGTAGAGGCAGGGAACCACAATTATAAATGCTTAATACTGGTTCATTTAAATGTCTAGCAACCTATATTTCCTGGCTTTGCAAATGCTGAATGTATTTCTGTTTTAAACTCTACTGGGGGTTCTTTTAGCTAGAGAATGACTCAAGCCACAAAAGTTTTTTGAATCCAGGCAGTCATCTGTTGTTGTTTTTCTTGCAGTTTTCCCCACACATGGGACTTCTGAATTAACTGGTATTTCCCAACAGTTGTTTGTTTGTTTCCTTTATATTCCCCTCCCGGGGGAGGGCCAGAGAACACATAGTTGTTTGTATATAGTCCATAGACTGTTTCCAGTTTTAGGAAGTATGTGGGGTTTTCTTTGGTTGTTGGTAATATTTATTAACCACTTTAAAAAAATGAAACCCAAAGCAACTTACCAAGATGAGCATTAGATACGAAGATAAAAACCATGCTAAAACAACCTAAGATGCGCAAATGATACATATGTTTAAATTATCAGTAATAAGACAGTAACGAGGCTTACGATCTAAAGTCATGACACAAATGGAAAATGGATTGGGAGAGAGGAAGAAAAAAATAAATTCAGTTTTTATAGTGACCAGCTGAAATGGAAAGTTGGTTCCTTCTAACTGAGGGTCCATGTTGCGCGCAGCCAACCAGCCCCCCAACTAGCCTGGAATTTTGCCAGGCTTTGCCCCGTTCTGGGACGGTGGTGTCACCATCACTGGCTCTTAGCCAATTGGCGTGGTGGGGTGATCGGGGCTTTATTATTTAAATGGCAGCATGACACGGGGAACCCCTCTTGCTTCGCACTGCCAAACAAACACCCGTTGATAGGTTGGTGTTTGGCCTTGCTTTGGACTTTGGTTGGTTGCCTATTTTGGATCGGGGGCTGGGCAGGAATTTTTTCCAATGTGGCAGATTGGCAGTGGCCACTTGGTTTTTGCCTACCTCTTAGCAATTGCCACAACTTTGTAAGGTTTGGAGGTTAGGTATTGGTTTAGGGGAAGGTGGGGAGGGGAGGTGCAGCCATCACCTGCCCTTCCATTTAATAGGGCATTCCGTTAAAGGAATCTGGGGGTCTGGATCTCGTCCAAAGCCTGGGGAGGGGCTAGGGCCATGCCAGGAACCCCAGGAACCCCAGGGGTGAGACCAGTCAATAGCCATTGTTGGAGCTCCCTCTGCTGGTAGTTTACCCTTTGCAGGCTCCCTGCTGGGTGGGCAGGAGCCAGTTATAGTCATTAGATACCAATGCCTAAGCCAATACCAGTCACACTTGTGTATTCAATAAAGTTGTGGCCTAAATTTGCCCATTAACCTTTAAACTAAATTCTGTGTCCATTGTGTCTTTATTCCATGGGGGCGGGTTTCGGGTCTTGAAGTGCAACTGTTCATGAAGAGGAGTCAAAAGTCGCTGGTTTCTCAGCAGAGCCAATGGAACGGCTCTGCTTCCTTTCTTTCCCCTTCTGGAATGGGCCAGAAGTTTATTCCAGGGCAAGAAAGCTTCATGTGTGCATTCTTTTTGTCAGTTGGAGTAGACAGGGCTCAGAGCTATATGTACCAATTGCTTGACTCAGAATAAGACAGCTTCATATATTCAAGAGTCTTTTCAATGTGCTCCAAAGCTTGCTAGGCTTTTTCTATACCGGACAAACCTATGGAGCAAGTTCCAAAGATATTGGCCTCCAAAGGACATGCCCTGAAATTCTAATTTCAGGCATCAACAGCTAAGATACCCCAGCAGACTTCAACTGTCATGGAAGGGCAAGTGGGAAGGTGGCGCCTCTTAAATGACTCTGGCTTGGAAAAGATAACACAAAGCCCTCTCTCAGGTGATTATTCAAGCAAGTAGGAATTAAATGAAGAAGAGAAAGGGGGTGACCAAAGAAGAGCGATTAAATCAATGAAGGACAAAGAAGACAGAACAAGGCAAACAAAAATATCAATAGCAGGAACAAATAGTTGTTACCTGACTGTTTTCATGTGCCAAAACTTGAACTGAAATATACTGAAGCAAAATATCCCAATGTACCTTTTGTTCAGTGGTTCTGTTTGTTTTAAAGACTTCCTCACATCATCATTGCTTGGCTGACTGTTGTATGACACAGCAAGTGTAGCCCTCCTAGTGGTCCTTGGTTTCTTTCCCAAAAATATCCAGAGCGTGCCCCAACAAATTTTTAGTGGGGGACATATTTTAAACTGAATAAAGGCTGATGAGCCTGTAGAATTGGCTGCATTCCATTACTCACTCCAAAGGGCTTCATAATCCTCTCCAGGGTAAACGGTAACAGAGGCCTGTGTGTGTGTGTGTGTGTGTGTGTGTGTGTGTGTTTCATGGTTTCCCCTTAGCCGCTCTCAGTCCCACATGAGTCGAGAGCCAGGCAAATGGGGAAACTCTGTCAGCAGCTCTGTTGCTCTTCACACTGTGAAAGAATGAGTTAAAGCGCCTCTTACCTGGGTTCAGGTACATATTGAAGAGATTGCTGGGGTTCTGCAGCTGCCTTGCAAACCAGGCAGAAGTGCTCTGGGGACAGGATTGAGTCCTCAGGCTGCCAGTTGCCTATCCAAATCTAGAGGAATTAATTTCCCTCCGGTGTCTGGTGAAAATACTGTTCTGGCTGGAGCTATGAGACCCAAAAAGGAGCAGAGAGATAATTACGCACGAGCATTTAGTTAGGTGTTACACATTTTAGTGTTACATTTTTTTATGAGCTTTGTGCTCATGCATGTTCTTCCTTTATAAAATACCTTTAAAGCTTCCAGTCAAATTTCTAAATGTAAACTCTATACCTTTCCTTTATAAACTACCTATACATTTCACCAATCCTCATTCTCTATAAACTGCCTGTACGTTTCAGCAATCCTCAGCGGTATACTAGTCTTTAATGCCCTCAAATGTAATACAAATAAGTTATGAAAGGGGTGAGTAAGGAATTAATGTTTAGTTCAGAATATAACTGATCGGTAGAAAGGACTTTATGATCTGAAAATAGAGACAATGTATGTACTTTTGTAACCCAAGAACATATTTAATAAAAATGAAGAAGAAGAAGAAAAAGATTATTTAGTTCCCACCTGTAGCAGAATGACACATCTGACACATCAACTCCGCACTTTCTGTCTCCTTCATCTTCCTTATCACACTCAAGTTCTGGACTGAACATCTACCCGTCCAGGCACCAAACTCTGGAGGCTATACTCCTGGAGAATTTGTGTTGAAGTGTGAGTTTATTAAAGTGTGTGTGTGTGTGTGTGTGTGTGTGTGTGTGTGTGTTCTGCACACTAAGGTATGTGTATGAGAGCTCACATGCGTTTTGTGAACTTGGTCCAGTAAACACAGTATTTTGCCTTTTCCTCCATATAAGACCCTTGCTAAATTATTTCAACTTACACAGTTAGGGCTATTGTCAAACAAAGCTATATAAAGTTCAGGACATTCTACACATTCACCACCACCCTTCTTTGGATTTCAGAAAAGGTTAGGGCACTGGTGGCCCAGTGAGCAAGCAAATGCCTTAAATGAGCAGGTTCGTATTTACATATGTATGTGCAAATGTGCTAGTCACTGTTCTGTTTGTGAAATCCACAAAGCAATGCACAAACAAATTAAAAATAATAATAAAAAAACATAATGGAGGATATTTGTAAAAACAAACAGCAGGAGGGACAGTTACAAATTGGACAGGCAAGCTGGAACATAAGATTAGTTATGGTGTGAATGTGATATAATTCAATGTTTTTGGAAGCAAGTTGTCAGGACATGTTATATAGTTATGAGTCTTGATCTTGCCTTCTTGTTACTAAATCGTTTTGAGAAACCATTTATAAACATAGGAAGTTGTTCTACTACTGCAGCTGAAATGTCCACACAACAGATTCCAAAAAACACACACACACCAAAGAAGCGGGTGGAGATAAGGAAACAAAGGATTTCAAAGGTTTCTGGGGATCGCATAACGATGAAGCTAACTTTTCAAAGGAGCAGAGCCTAATCTGAGAAGCAAAATATCTTTTTGGAAGAGAGGCATGTGTTAGTCATTTATTTTGAGAACCCTCTTTGACCTTACTCATGGCTGCCAGTGTTCATTATTATTTGTAGGTTTATTTGAAGTATACAGTAAGTTTATAGAGTTTATAGCTATTGCTTCTGTGTTGCAATGTCCTATACTGTAGATATATATAATTCATAACTGTTACTTCTGAAAGTGGTAGGGCACACCTTGCAAGACCTGTCTTGCTGATTTTAGGTTTTAGCGATACCACTATGAAGTTTGTAAGGGGTCACTGTGCTGAGAGTCAGGGGCCGGATTTAGGTTTGATGAGGCCCAAAGCTACTGAAGGTAATGGGGCCCTTTATATGTCCAGCTGTCCTTTGTCAACAACAAATTGTCGCTGTTTTTTGTGTTGAATACCGTATTTTCCCCTGTATAAGACTAGGTTTTTTCCCTTTAAAATAATGTCAAAAATTAGGGGGTGTCTTATACACAGATACAGCTCCCCCCATTTTCTTAAATCTAAGTCCCCCAAAATAGGGGACGTCTTATAGATGGAAAAATGTGGTATGTGCTATATGGTAATTTATGTACCTAATAGGTATCTAAAGCCATTTGCACATAACAAAATATGTATTTTATCAAAGTAATTGTTGAACTGAAATACAATTAAGAATAAGTTGCTGTATGTAGGTTTTATTTTATTTGTTTTTTATCTTATAGTTTGGAAATGTACATCCAGTTTTTTTCCCCTTTAATTTTTTTGGGGACCCCAAGAGAGTGGGGCCCTAAGCTATAGTTTGTTTTGCTTATACGTAAATCCGGCACTGCTGAGAGTGATCATGGATTCATAGGATTATAGAGTTGGAAGATACCACGAGGTTCATCTAGCCCAAACCCTTGCAATGGATGAATCTTTTGCCCAGCGTGAGGCTCGAACCCATGGGCCTAAGATTCAGAGTCTTGTGCTCTACCGAGTGAGCTATCCCATGTTATTAGTGTTGAACAATTGACCCAGAGAGCAACTGGAAGGCCCAAGGCAAAACTCCTAGTCTCTGTGCTCCCCTCGCCCTCTTTGCAATTGCATACTAACTGGGACAGTGGATGTTCCTTTAAGTAACGAGCGCATGCCATGGGGAAAGAAGTTATTTTCAGAGTGCTGGACTGAGTCAGATAAAGTGATATCTGACTTTAACGCTAATAAAGGTTTGACTTTTCTCCTTCACTTTCTGAAGAATAAGAGAGATTCAGGTTTAAGGCATAAAATGACTAAATTAAGAAGCTTAATAATTTCTGCTTTTAAGCTGATGCAGTTGCTTGTGGAAGTGCTTAAGGTTTATGCCGACAATTCCCTTGCATCCTAGGGATCAGGAGCAGAAGCTGATAAGATAACCCATGGAGCAAGAAAGTCATGTCTCACTCCAGTAGCTCTGCCGTTGCAAAACCTTGGTCTCTGGAATGAGGATGACTTGTGTTCTCTTTAAGATGCACACAGTAAGTCGTGGCAGATAGCAAGCTACCCTATCCTGATGTTATTTACTATTGAACTACGTGTGTAGTCTGGTGTCAGGAACTACATCTTGCCACTGCAGTTTTCCAGTATCCTCATCAAGGTGGTGGTGGTGGTGGGGGGAAGCATGTAAACTTCCCTGTCGCTTCAAAGATATGTAATAAGTCTAGGAAGCTAGCCTGAGATCTGAGAAAGCAGGCAGAAAAATGGCTTCCAGCTGCTTCTCAAGCAGAGACAAAGGAGGGGAAAATTGCAGAGACTTAATTAAGGTCCAAGGCAGATTCTCAGGTGTTGAGAATGGTAGTTAATCAGGAAGCATAAAAGCTCGAGAAATACGAAGCCACCCAACTTGGATTCTGTCCTTTTCAGAGAGTCTAAAGAATATAACGGGATGCGGGTGGCGCTGTGGGTTAAACCACTGAGCCTAGGACTTGCCGATCAGGAGGTCGGCAGTTCGAATCCCCGCGATGGGGTGAGCTCCTGTTGCTCGGTCCCTGCTCCTGCCAACCTAGCAGTTCAAAAGCACATCAAAGTGCGAGTAGATAAATAGGTACCACTCCAGCGGGAAGGTAAATGGTGTTTCCGTGCGCTGCTCTGGTTCGCCAGAAACGGCTTAGTCATGCTGGCCACATGACCCGGAAGCTGTACGCTGGCTCCCTCAGCCAATAAAGCGAGATGAGCGCCGCAACCCCAGAGTCGGCCACGACTGGACCTAATGGTCAGGGGTCCCTTTACCTTTAAAGAATATAACAAGATTGAATTCTGTAGGACGCAGTGATATGCATTTGACAGATATAGGATGCTCCCCCCAGGTTAAAACAAAGCTCCCCCAGTGGAAGCTGGGACTACAGGCACCAGCCACAGGCTTCCTCCTCTTCTCTCCACCCATTAAAAACAGGTTTTGTAGACTAAAACACATCATGTGACATCAGTGATTTGAGAACTTCCACATCCTGGCCTATCACTTCCTAAACCTTATGGAGGGCAAAAGAGAGAAGTTATTTGAAGCATGGCCACACAGAGCCGTAATATGTAGCTTCAGCCTCCATTCTTCCTTTCCAGAAATAAAGGATGTTGCTCCCATACTTTTAACATGCAGCAGGGCAGGTTGGTGGTTTGTGGTTCAGGTGGATGGATGGAAGGAAGACTGTGTAGCATGAACAAACAGTTGTCCTCGGGCAACAGCAGAGTAAAGGTAAAGGTAAAGGAACCCCTGACTATTAGGTCCAGTTGTGGCCGACTCTGGGGTTGTGGCACTCATCTCACTTTATTGGCCAAGGGAGTCGGCGTACAGCTTCTGGGTCATGTGGCCAGCATGACTAAGCCGCTTCTGGCAAACCAGAGCAGCGCATGGAAACGCCATTTACCTTCCCGCCTGAGTGGTACCTATTTACCTACTTGCACTTTGATGTGGTTTCGAACTGCTAGGTTGGAAGGAGCAGGGACCGAGCAACGTTGCGGGGATTCAAACCGCTGACCTTCTGATCGGCAAGTCTTAGGCTCTGTGGTTTAACCTACAGCGCCACCCGTGTCCAGAAGTCCTGTCTCCGAGGTGCGCTTCACAAGTCAATTGACACTCATCTATACTAGATTTTTGCCTACTTGGTGAGTCATAATTCCCACCTCTCTCTCACACACACTAGTATTGGCCTTGGAACAATACTTATTTTGCCTACTCTGTACTGCTCAGTAACCAGGGAGGGGCAGAGTTAGAGGTGAATAAGTCCCTAAAGGTCACAGCTAGCAGGGACAGTAGAAGTAAAAACATTCCTGGAAGCATCAAGTGCAGGGTGCAATAAGATTCCTCAAGTCAGCCTCTCTGGACTAGCAGGTAGACACAACCCCCTCTGAGGCCTGCTTGACTCACCCACCAAGAGTTCACTGGTGGTGGGAGGCTCTGGTAACATCTCCCTCAACACATCACAGAGTGATAATGGGACAGGATCAGGAACCCACCCGGTTCTACTTCAGAGCCAGGATGGAGCTCACCCACATGCCATAATCCCTTCCATATAAGCAGCACCTGTTAGGTTGGGGAAGAGCACTGTTTTACTGTAGACCAAGGCTGAAATCATGAATAGAGTTGTGGCCCTGTTGTTCCAGTGCTTGAGACTCATATTTCTACGTGTCCTGAAAGAGACATACTGAAAGACAGGCATTCATCCCCCACCGCCACTCCTGAGAGCTGAAGATAGCATGGCAGAGCCGTAATTGTTCACGCTGTGCACATTTATCTTACACGCATTGTATCTGCTCAGATGGGGTTTGCATGGGGTTTTTATTGTTCCCAACATCTGCAATATCTGCTGGACCAAAGACGATCATGATGCAAAACAAATGACGGTGTATACCATGACTATACCAGTGATTACTGTACCACTGAAAATTTGACTACCCTATTAACTATTACCTACCTCTGGTCCCAAGGTTTTGGGGTTTGGATTACAGTCTCAATTCCCACTTTGGAAACAAAGCTTATAAAGTAGTGTATCAACTCAGCTAGACAATCGGCTAGGAAGGCATGTGACCAAAGGCTCGCCTGCTCCAACTGGAGCTTGCCTACACACTGGAGTCGAGTCACCTTCAGAGACCTTCCAAGGTGCCCCCACTCTCTGGTTGAAGTGGGTAGTGACTGGGGAGAGACCTTCTCAGTGGTGGTATTCAGTGCTTTTTTCTGGGGGGAACTCGAGCACAAACAGTGCCAGCACCTCTTTTGTTGCTGTTAGAAAGTGTGGCACTTACTGTGACAACTTCATGGTGAGTAGGGGCAGCTATTTTTCTAGGAGAAAAGCACTGGTGGTATTCTACTTGTGGAATAATTTCTCACCAGAAGCCTCCTCTGATGTCTTTGTGGTGCCAGGTGGAGACTTTTTCTTTTATTTTCACAGAATTGTAGAGTTGAAAGGGACCACAAGGGTCATCTAGTCCAACCCCAGCAATGCAGGAATCTTTTCTCCAATGTGAGGCTCGAAGCTACAACGCTGAGATTAAGAGCCTCATGCTCTACTGACTGAGCTATCTCAGCTCTTTTAATTTTTGTCTCAACTGTTTTGTTGTTTCCTTTCGCATGACATTTCAGATTTTATTCTTTCTGTTGTGTGAGCTGCTTTGTAAATATTTATATTGAATGGGGGCATCTGCATTGAAGAATTAACAAATTAGAGATTAAGAAGTCTACGTGCCATCAGCTGGGAAAGACTGGTCATGGACGGTTTATATTAATTTGCCCTTCTGAGAATGCACAGCCCTTTCTATACCTCTTACCTTTAGCATTTTCATTTGGAGATTTTTTTTTACAAACCAGTGGCAACCGCTGAATCACAGTCCTTTGCTCCACTGAAGCACATTTTTAATCTGCAAAGTCATGGCATTTGTCCAAGGAGAGGAGGTGGGTTAACTGTAAAGGGGTAGATGATCCCCTTCCTTTATTATAAATTCACAGAACTGAAATTGACTAATGAGCTATATATGCTAATCTGAAAAACCTGCTTGTTTCTATGGCCAAGACCTTTTTATAAAGTTGACTCATAAGTTACGCAAAGGCTCTCTGCAAGTTTACTTAGAAGCTTCCTTCTCACTGCTTCTTCTAAAGTCTTCCCGCTCAACATGTTCTGGGGTGTCATTAGTGATGAAATGCCCATTAATAGCTCTTTAAACTAGTCAGTTCCTATTCCCTGCAAAGTGTCATGTCCTTATCTACTAATTTCCTTTTAATTATCTCGTAATAATAATTGTAGACAGCATTCGTTCAAGAGCGGTGGTGGTAGTGGAGACACTTACATCCTCCTGGCAGTGATGGCCCTGCCATCGCTGAGTTGGGAAGAAGCAGTGGCAGCTGCTGTGCTCCCTAATCTTGCTGCCGTCATGTCCTGTCCCATCCTGATGAACACAACACCGCACTCCTGGCCACTACCTCCGCCCCCTCCACAGCTCACCAGTAATGCTACATTAGTGCTATTTTGTAAAACATAACCTTTTCTGCCAGTGATTGTGGGGCTGGACTACAAGGGTAAGAAAAATTACCCAAAACATGATGTCCACTGAAGTAACCCTGCAGAAATCCCCTCATCTTTGCCCAGGCTGTGTCTCCTGCCTGCTAGCCTCTTCCTCAAGGTGAGGCGCATGCATGCATGCACTCAAACACACACACACACACAGCCTTAAGTCTTGTGGTTGAATGCTGGGAGGAAATCCTTGAGGGTTGTGAACACTTTGACCATATCTGCTTGGTCCTGGGCTCCCTCAGGACTTGCAGCCCTACCCTTTAAGACATTAAGGCTGAAGCTCTTCCTCATCCTCCAACATCCCCATAAAGTTCTAGCTGCTGCCCCATCATGAAGTGTGTGTGTGTGTGTTTTGGGGGAACTCATGCCACCCTCTTTTCCCTGTTTCCACTCCTTTGAGCCAGCTCTTGCAAGGTGAATATAGGCTTCTGGCCTACTAGCCAATTGTCTGCTTTGCCAGATCTCTGTGACATTGG